TATTTAGCTTTATGTATGTCAGGATGAGTTTTATATAAGTAGATCCGTTTTTATATCTACCGCTTTGTTTTAAAGACGCATTATACACAGGTTTATGAAAAGCGGTCACGTCGCATATTTACGGTTGTAATATTAGGGATGTCACGCGTACGTTGCCGCGCCGTTGTTTATATGTATTTCGTTTTTAATCGACTTTAAAACAAGTAATAAAATATAATTATTTTTTATTTTTGATACCCTAGAACTCCGATTTGATAAATTTAATGCAATTTTTAATGTTATTGTTCTTCTTCATCAGCCTGTCGCTGTCCATTGCTGGACATAGGCCTTTCCCATTGCATGCCACTTCGATCGCTTTTGTTATAGTTTTCGTTACTTTAATACCAAACATTATAAATATGTAAATAAAAAAATCTTGACTATTTATAGACTGATGTATACGTCTGAGTGAATGGAATGTATGTATAAAACAATTAGTCTATTGACGCTTAGAAACGTGCGTGAATATTTTAACTTTCGCATTTCGTCACTTGTATTATGATGACATACTTTACACTGGCTTGTCATAGGTGTCTGAAGCTAAGATAATCCGTACCAGCGTGAGATACTTCAAAATATATAGACGTATAAATACGTCTATATGCTTATACTAGCTGACCCGCGCAACTTCGTCTGCGTCTCTCAATAGTAATAAATTTTCTCCGTTTTTTAAACATTCTTGCTCCGCTCCTATTGGTCTTAGCGTGATGATATATAGCCTATAGCCTTCCTCGATAAATGAGCTATCTAACACTGAAAGAATTTTTCAAATCGGACCAGTAGTTCCTGAGATTAGCGCGTTCCAACAAACAAACAAACAAACAAACTCTTCAGCTTTATAATATTAGTATAGATTTACGTCGTACGTATGGGAAGACAGCAGGAAGACGGCGTATTAAACATCCACTTCTTTAACTAAAACTTGGTAACACGTGACACGATATTTGTTATTTAGATGGATTGGGGAGTGGACCCTTGAGCAGACAGCATTAGAATACGGATAAGGAAATGTTATTTCTATTACATGATTATGTTAAATTCATGTACGTTTGCATAATTTTATATAAAGAGATCACCAAACGTCTGAATTTCGCTGTCTTTGCATATATTTTGATACCTAGATAAAAATGTTAAGTTGGTTTGCGTACGCTTCAGAAACTCAAAAAGTTTTGACACCATGTACAACCCGCTTCAAAGATTATTTTCACGTCAGTTTTGTAACTCGCTTGTCCTCAATGCAATCACAATGCGACAGCAAAGCATACACCTAGTATATTATATAAATGTTAAACTTAAAAACTTAAATTTAATATACTTATATTAAATTTTAGCAGATATTGTCTAAACATTTTAGCTTTCTGTCCATTTTATGCCCATTTGGCCTTTTACTACATATGTATAAACATTAAATATGCCAAATATGATGTGCGTTTGTTTAAAAAGCGATACAAAATATATTTTTTAACTTATTACGAATTAAAATTATTAATATTCACGTAGAAAGTAAAATTTCAATACCATTGATTATGTAATTAAACTTTTACGGTATTCCGCTTGTGTTAGAAGATAGGTATATATATATTTTATCCAAACATTGTAAATGTATAATTAAATTTCTCTTCCTTTCACTCGACACAGAATAATCATCAGCAGACATGAAGAACTCTAAATGTCAGCGTATGCAATAGACTAAAAAAAGTAGCCACTGCTTAAATTATATTGGTCATTAACTAAAGACAGATGTCAGATCACGTCAGCCACAAAAAATAAGGTAATACCCGCCGGAAGTCTGAAACTGGTTTGTTATTTAAAAAGAAATCGTTTAGTAGAAAAAGCTTACGCAATGACGAGTCATCGTCGTTTCATTCATACTTTGTAGATAGTGTTTGTTTACTCTATACTTCGTACAAAATTTAAAAAAAGGATTGATAATTTTTTTTAAGCCAGGAACCCTCGCGGGCATTCTTAGAACACCCTACCAAAGTTTTATCACAATCTGATCAATGGTTTTGGAGTGCATATAGGACAAATATTTCCTATTTATGTAGATCATTATTTATATATATCGATATAAATGATTATTTATTTTAACATTAATTATAATTTAAAAAATACATCCAAGACACTAGAAAGTCTGACGATCTCAAAAACCAGTGTTGCATAGTGTGAATAACTTTCACACTGGAGATTTTAAAAGTTCAATGGCCATTTAACAACTGGGCCGCAAGTGACCTAAAATTATAATGTTAAAAGAAAGGTGCTTCGTAATTTGAGTTGTTAACTAGCTCCGAATCGCTCAACCAGCGGTGGAGAGGGGTGGTGTTTCTCTACGAGATTAGAAAAGAGATGAACGAAGACAGCTGGTATAGAACAACCAGATGGGCATTTGTGATGTGTTTGTGTGGTGACGGATTAAGAATACGGATTGTCACCACCCCTATTCATCCCGTGGGTGTCGTAAGAGCCGACTAATGGAGCAAACTACGTAAGACAACACCACTGCAAAGAGCAGGAAAACTTGATACAAACCCTATACCCACCCATCTGGTTCGCGTGGTATAGTAGGCTAAAACCTCCTTTCTAATGAGAGGCCTGTGTCCAACAGTGGACCATTAGAGGCTGTTGATTATTGATGATGAGTTGGGAATTTAAAGTAGCAAGAAGCTGGAGCCATAATTCCCAAAATACATGTCTGTGGGAGCATAAGTAATCTAGAGAGAACATCCACCAAGAAGATGGACAGATTATCTTGTAAAGAACGGGTCGGTGATAGATGCAGGCTGCTTTAAACCACGGTGTTCGTGAAATGTCATTGAACCTATATACAGTAGTGTTTATTACGGTCATTGCTGTGCTCCTAAGGGTCCTAGCGTGATGTATGTCTGACCTATACATATGTTTGTCTGTTGGTTTTTCACTTAAAGTAGTTGGATATATATGAATGGAATTTAGCGCGAATATAGATTAACATATTAGCAATGGAGCTGCTAGCAAATGCATACATATGATACTGAATTTTCTAGTAATTTGATTCAAGTGAACTTGCCTAACAATAGATTTTAAACAATGTAAGTGCTGAATTGAGATTGTTCAGAACGGATCAGCACATTAGCGAGGCGAGCGAAACTGCGGTATTAAATAATGAAATAGGGTAGTTCATCACGCTCGAACTGCTGAACGGATATGGAGGAAACTTAGCACAGAGATAGATTATAATCTGGAATAGCACATAAATTACATTTTATCAAGGAAATATGTGGCAATATTTGTGCATTACAAACTAGACAGTAACGCAAGCAAAGGCGTAGGTAAAAACTAGAATCGACAGCACCAATGGCGTAGTGGTTTCAGCGGTCACTTTGCCACCTTCTACTGCGCTGAGTGTTGTGGGTTCGATCCCCACATGGGACCACACTTAGTGTGATTCACAAATTGTTGTTCTGAGTCTGGGTGTTTTTGTGTGTGTTTCATGTATGTTTGTAAAGTCCCCTGCGACACAGGTTATTTCCTAGTGCGAAAGTTGTCTTCTTTTTAAAGAAAAGAAAATAATAAATATGTATAAGAATCAGAAAGTATATCTTTTGCTTCAGTTACAACTATTATAAACTCCATAATAAAATTGTCTTTATAAATACATTGTATAATGTAGATCCTTTACTTTAAATGGTACTAAATGTCACCTGCAACTATGAAACATTGGTTGCGAAAACCGACATAAGGCGAGCGAAAACGCGGACGAGGCTAGTATAGTCGCGGTTGTGAGGGCTACTAGGTAGCTATACAGTATCCAACAAAAGTATATTTAAAAAAGAGAAAGCATCAAACCGAGGTCGAAAATTGCATTTTTGAAAGAAAGTGTATTAAAAATGTGTACCGTAATTTGACCATTCTAATCACCGTAGATAAGCAAGCAATAATAAACCATCAAAAATATACTTTTCTGAGAGTTATGTCTGAGCGAATGTGGTTAGTTACACAGTTAGTACAACCTGTACTAACTGTGTAACTAACCACATTCGGAACTCAGAAAAGATAAGTTAGAAAAATAATTATTCCCAATGTATAGAAAAATGACATTAATGCTAATTGCTAGTAGAGTTGCAGATAAAAATTGTATTACAGTAAAATCGTTGTCTTAGTTCCTAAACTAACAATTTTAAATAATTTTAGAATGCTAAACGGTCCAACTTTATAATGCTGATTTGCGTGCAAATCAAGCGTTTATCAATATAACTGGGTCTGTAGCGACAGATGAAAATATCTTAGAGGCCCAGAGTTGGACACTATTTTTTAAAACTCTCCCAGCGTTGACAGTCTCTCTATAAATATCAACGATCTTAGATTAACAGTTTTAGATGAGACAATATGAATAGATAAATATTTAGTTAAAATATTACAAGAACGCTCTTATATTGTTATTCCATTTTCAGTATAACAGTTATACATGTTTTGATTTCCTTTAAGATAGATATTTTTGACTTACGCACTGTTAGGACTTCATTATACAACAAACAAATTATTTAATAGAAAAGTTCCAACGCCCTTCCATTCTTTTATACAACCTACTAAACTACCGGACCTCCTTTAAGAACGTAGAAATTTCTTTTTTTTTTCGTAGTTAATTGATTTCGGTAATAAAACACAGAAACTTAAATCCTAAACAAGTGACAGCACCTAAAAGTTTGATATAAAAATATTCTAGAACCCGGTTGTGGCGCCACCTATCCGGCTCTATTGTTAAGTTAAACCAATCCAGACAAATAATCAAACACAAATAAAATTCCATTCTAAAAATGAAATAAAAATCTTAGAATCCCGTTGCAGCGCCACCTACCAGGTCCAATGTGTATCTAAACTAAGAAGGAATCCACCAAAACATACAATGTTTGTATAATAAAATCAACAAAATCGAAGAATTTCATTTAACAATACAGAACAGTTATATAAAGTTAATAACTTACTTATTCCTTGTTTTGCTGACCACAGCACTATTAAAATTTAAAAAGACACTACACTATGTGTACGTGTGCACACGACGACGGTTGTGACTACACTGGCAGTGAGCTTACACCTTTCTTTCATTTTCGAATACCTATGTGCCGATCAGGTTTAGGTCTAACAGTTCACGATTAGCGATTTATTGTTTGAGCGATTTGAGATGACGTCATACAAGTAAACCCGTCTGGCCAGCGTAGTATAGTAGGCCAAAACCTTCTTTCTCAGGAGAGGCTTATGTCCAGCAGTGGACTATTAAAGGCTGTTGATGATGATACAAGTAAAGAATTTCTTTCTTTCTTTCTTTTCTTTTTAAAAAGACAACGCCCGCATTAGGAATAAATCCTGTGTCGCGGGGGACTTTACAAACATACATGAAACGGACACAAAGAACACCCAGACTCAGAACAACAATTTGTGGATCACACATTTCTTGACCGTTTCATGCTTTTACGTAAGTAAAATACTGTAACTATGTGTCTGTATTTTTGTTTGTTACATTGATTATTTTGAATTTTTTTAATACATATCATCGAGGTAACCGAATAGGACATAGTATACCTTACACTCTTCAGTCTATATCCCCGAAGAGGCGCACAGAGGCGTATAAACGCTCACATTTTGCCGACTACAATTTTGGTACTTTAGTAATTACGACGATGAGACGAAAATCTGGGAATATAGCTAATGAAAGGTGGGTAGGAAGGGAGGTACGAAAGGGATATTGCTTGTACGGATTGTATAGGCAATTTCTCGAGCACGTCAGAACGCCTGTTGGCAGAACATCGGAGCCCTCTGACCTAGGTATCTTTTATTTAATAGTATGTAGATAGTCATCACTGGCAACACACACTGGTCAAAAACTTTCGTCTTGAGACACTGCGGGCACAGGACCGGTTGTTGTGGAGAGCCACTTCACCAAGGAGGCCTATGTCCAACAGTGGACCTTGGACGCTGAGATGATAACGATGATAAACTTACTTACTTATTTTATTTATAATATCAACATTATCCTGACTATCCGACTTTAAAAAGCTGTATATTTGTAACCTCTATTTTTGACTCAATTCGCAATTTACTACTGTACTGTGCACGATGTATGTAAAACATACGCTAAACACTACCTAGCGGATTATTCAGTAGAGCCATGCTCGTGCATAATTCGCCATTTCTTATTCTAAAAGTATCATATCTAAGACTGATTTTGATTAATTTTAGATAGCAACATAAGCACTTTATCCTATATTGATAGGATAAAGTGCTTATGTTGCTGTCTAAATCAATATAATGCTTCATTTTGCTAATTTTAATTACCAAAGCGTGTCGGGTTGATACGATAGAGTTGCCCCCTATAGCATGAGACGGAAACAAGAATACGTTTAATTTCCGACTTGTAAAAATATCTAAAACTGACTTGTTTTTACAAGTCAGTCTGAAAAAAGATTTACACAGAAATAAATATTATTTAATTTCAATAGTTTGGTAGAATATGTGTGTGTTTGCTACACGTTTGCCTTCCCCATCGAGAAAAGAGATGTGAATTTATGTGTATCAAGTAGAGAACTATAAGAATATGGCTAAGTTTTCTGTTGTCTTCTGTTTTTTTTTTAAATAGGTTTAGCTTACTTACAGTTTATTTGAATACAACATTTTCTAATACCTACTAGTATTATAAATGCGAGAGTAACTCTATCTGTTACGCCTTCACGGCTAAACCGCTACAACCGATTTTAATTAAAGGCATGGATATCTCCATGATAATCATCATTGATGATTAAGGACATAGGCTACTTTTTACTGCGATTACCAACATACTCTCGGGCGGAACCACGGTCAAAAGGAAGTATTAAGATGAGAAGATTATTTTCTTTATAGAACTCAGATTAATTTAACTGATCGATTGCATTTTGGTTTTATGTTATGCGATATCTTTGACATTCGTTCATGCGCGGCGGTGGTCACTTTGCATCAGGTAACACGTCTGCTCGTCTGCCCCCACCATCACAAAAAAATAATAATTTTGAAACGATTTCAAAATGTATTTTTTTCTCAATTGAATTGGTTATTTACACACCTAAGACTTAAAATGTACAATTGAATTGGTTAAACAGTATGGTCCCGTTTGAACTCTCAAAAAATATTCCACCACTTAAGATGTAAAAATTAAGAGACTAAGAATATAGCTTCTTTTAATTCATTACATTAATATGCATTGAAGTCAGTCATACTGTTTAAAAGGTAATTATGATCATGATATTATAAAAAAAAACTCTTTATGACTAATAGCGGCATCGCCGATGCGTGCAGACAAAAAAGTAGGTAGACATTATTAATTTGAGAATAAGTTTAAACTTTAAGTTAATCATAACAGTATTTCGTATACTAGCTACTCGCGCAACTTCATCTAAATCCGGCAAAAGGAATTATTTTCTCTGTTGTACTATTTTTCATCGATGCTCCCCTCCTATTAGTTGTAGCGAGATGTTTTACACCTATGGCCTTCCTCGATAAATGGGCTATCAAATACTAAAAGATTTTTTTAATTCAACCCAGTAGTGCCTGAGATAAGCGCGCCTAACCAAACAAACGAACTCTTCAGCTTAATATTAGTATAGATTTAATTCTCAAGACTTATACGAAATCCCGTTTGAATCTACAATTAAAGACGTCAAGGTTTAACGACTTTTTGAAGGTAATTACTCTTGCTAGGTATATAAAGTTTGTAATATCGACTGCACGGATGTCGCTCACTACTACGCTGAGTGTTGTGGGTCCTATCCCCACATGGGACGACACTTTGTGTAATCCACAAATTGTTGTTCTGAGTCTGGGTGTCTTTTGCGTCCGTTTCATGTATGTTTGTAAAGTCCCCAGACACAGGATATATATTCCTAATGCGGTAGTTGTCTTTTTATAGAAAAAATAATAATGAACAGGTAAAGAAGATCATGCCCGTGTCTAAAACGCAACTATCAATTGCAGCAGCAGTCTGATTACCATAGCACAGGCTCTGCAAAGTTTGGGATCACACGGCCGTGTGTAAGTTGTGTGAGATATATTATATTATTAATAAGTAACAATATATTTTTTTGAGCTCATAAAACAACTAACAAAGTCCTGATTTTAGGAACGGGAGACTCAGGGCGGCACCCTGTAGCTCTTGAGTCACAGCTCTCCATGGGCGACGATGGTAACTTACCATCTGGAGACCCGTCTGCTCGTTTTCACCCCCCAACATAAAAAATACATATTTAATTTACTCCTTACAGAAGACTTTGATATCTTCATATTAGAATTCTTTTAGTAAGATCTCGAGTCGATCTCGAGTCTCAACTGTCAAAGGAAACTGAAGAACGGAACGGAAGAACTAAGGAAGTTCAAACGACCAGTAATGGCTCTTTTACAGTATATTGTTTCCTTGTAAAAAAAAAAATATTTCCACCTATAAGCATTTTACACTCCATTATTTATGGTAAGTCTTATATAATAAAAATATAGGATTGTCAATGAATAACGTAAGACGAAAACGTTTCTTTTAGAATGTACATACGGGGAGAAAATGCTTTTGTTTATTACTAATTGTATTAAATTATTAAGCAATTCGATTCCTACCCAGGACAAATAATTTTGTGATGAGCACGGTCATTTGTTCTGTCTGGGTGTACTTTATCTATAGTATGTATCTATTTAGAAATATATAAGTATGTTTATCAGCAGCAGTCTGGTTACATACAGAACAGGCTACAGGTTACTTATAGAACAGGCTCTGTAAAAATATTATAAAATATTACATATATTATATTATTATAAATATTATATTATTAATTAAATTGTAGCTTACTTTTTTTTACTTGCATGCATGATATAGTTTTAGTTTTTTTATTTTTTTATTTTTTTATCTTTAGCCCAAAATCGATCTAAGTGGCGTGCAATGGGAGAGGCCTATGTCCAGCAGTGGACTGCGATAGGCTGATGATGATGATATAGTTTTTGTTTATACTTCAAAAAGTTAGACTTTTTCATGTCTGTTACCCGATACCTTCACATTTTGTAAGTTAATTTAAATATTTTTTTTAAATTTAATTTTAAAATTGTAATTGGTTGACAATCTAAAATTATATATTTCAAATTTATGAAAGATATTTCTTTTATAAAAATGTATTAAAAATAATAAATATAATAATTTAGCATATACAATAATTTAGTTGGTTGTACGAGTATAGCAAAGAACTATATGTAATTAAATGTATATAAGAATTTTGTTCGCAACTGTAGACAAATGAAACTTGTCACTCGTTTGCGCAGGCGCATTGTGACAACATTAACACTTGTAGAAAGTAAATAAATGAGAACGTAACCAGTTGGAACGTAACGATAAAACCATTGGCTTCGGCATTTCGTTCCTCAGACTCTTTATTCTGTGTACGTCTCTCAAAGGGAAAAAAAATTGCCCGTTTTTGCGACATTTTAGGTATTGCTCGGCTCCTAATGGTAGTATTTATTTTATTTATATTAAACACAGCAACAGCTTAATTACAACATCGCGGGGCAATAACATTTTCAAAATTTGAGTTTCAGGTAATTACACAGATAATAGATATGCATGACACTCAGTATATATCCAATGGAGACTTTTTATACAAATGCTAATTAAATACAAAAATATACACACACAAACATAAGACCAAAACTAAAAAGTGTTTTTTTTTTTTAATAAAAGACAACAAAGACAAAACAGAACAGGGTCTCTAAGAGTTGGGTTCGGGAACATGGCTTCGTGTGGAATCTCTGTGGATGTGATGAAGTTAGGTTCGTAATTTTTATAATAATTATTAATATATAATATTAATTATTATAATATACAGAAGCAAAGTATTCCGCAAATAGTTTCGTTACGCCACTTCAACCTTCTCCCACTGTATCATTATAATAAACTTGATTAGGAATGCCTCTGTATGTCTTTTTCGATTTCGCATAACGCCAAAGAACTTTTATGTTCGTTTTTAAATCCTTCTCTATTTTCGCAATGTAAATGTGTAAATGGGTGTTTCTATGTATAATATGTATGTATTTATTTATTTATTTAA